TCTGCACAAAACCTTTGCCAGTATAACCAAATCATATGTGCTGATGGCTGGGCTGTCATTTCCTAGGAACTGAGCTGCATACATCAAATACGACAGGAGAGCCCACCATATATATATATATATATATATATATAAGATGTTTTCAAGAAGTTGGGGTGGGGATGGAAGATTGATTTAAGTAAATTTCATCCAACGTCATGAAATTTATTTTGAACTTAATTTTGTGGGTAACAAGAAATGTTCTTATAGTGGTTACTCATATTTTAAATAGAAGCCTTGCTTTTTTTTTAAACAGTGAGTATTATATCTATTGGTCTGTACATTCAAGAAATATTAAAGAAAATGTGCTCTCTTTAAAAGTTGTCCCATTTTGTAGGAATAAAAATGTCAGATTCAAAATAAATTCATTAAGGAATCAGCACATATGCTAGGCCACAAAACTCTCCTGAGCCGACCAAGCATAGAAATGAATACAATATGGGAACTAGTAATAAGGAGTGCCAGAGAAAAGTGATAACAACAAAAATTGCAATATGAGCTCTGTTAAAACATGTAATGATAACAGCAAAATTGAAATATGAGAACTGGTAAAACATGGTTGCTGAAGACATTAGGTTTATAATACCCAGAAATTCATACACAGATGTTCCCAAGAACACATGGCACAGTGGATAAAGGCATTAGTTAGTCCAGTGACAGGACCCATAAAGTGTGAGTTCAATACCTGGTTATGGCAGTGGAAAACTTGAAGAGGGGAACTAACAGGAGATAACTGAGATCCATTAGACATGGAAAAATGTCTTTGACATTTCAACCACCTGAAGAAAGCCAGAGTGTACTAAATAATATGTAATAAATATGGTGACAAAGATGAGAACAATAGTCTGAATAATGTAAATAGTGTACATAATACCTCATCTCAGAAATATAGGCAGATAATAAACATGTTTCATCCTTTAGGATTTCATGTCTAGAAAGTGTCTTAACTGCTAGATCTACTGTAACATCACAATGTGGGACACTTAATGACAAGTTATAATAAAAAGAAACTAAATGAAATTAGCTTAACTATATAACCAAACACAAAAAAACAATTTCAGCATCCCCTCTTCATGTGCATGTGTAGTTAGATTAATGTAAACATCACAAAACACACCACACAAAAAACATTTTCCCTTTTGTTATTGATGAATAAATGCAATTGTCAGATGATGGTGTTTAAACATGAAACAGATTATTCATTTTTATATTTACATATGCTCTATCCCTGATATTGAGACTTTTAACCCATTAATTTACCTTAAAAGTATATTTTTATTATTTACTTTTAAAAGGATAAAAATATATATATATACTCATAAAGAACTAGTCAAACTGAGAAATGGATAGACCCAGCTGAGTAGAGATCTAGATATATAGACTGATAGAGAAATGTGTTAATAGATATAGTATTTCTACTTAATTTATATCCAGCTTTGCATGCTAGAACATGACTAAATATTGCCAGATTCTTTTTTCTCTTTTTCATTTTTCTTTTTTCTTTTTTTCTATTTTTTTTCTTTTTTTCTTTTTTTTTTTTTTTTTTTCTTTTTTTTCTTTTTTTTCTTTTTTTTTTTTTTTTTTTTATATTTAAACACTTTTTTCCTTCTTCACTTTCAATTTCTGATCTTGTAACATTGATAATTTTTGTTTATACTAGATCAAATACTTTGTCTTTTTTTTTTTTTTTTACTTATTTACAATTCTCTCATATTTTTCTGCTGCCAACTCTTCCATAGCCTAAAATAAAAAGTAGTGTAAAATAAAATTTAAAAAATGTCACGGTATTATCTTAGAAATGAAAGATTCCTGATTAGTGACCTTGGCTGCCAAAACTGGGTAAATATGTCAACTGAAAATGCTGTGGTATTCAAGTTTTTGAATGCATCAACAAAGACTAGGAAGGCCATTTGTAAAAGTTAATCTGCAATGACAATAATAGATTTCTGTAAATGTAATTATTCAAATCCCTATTCATTTGACTCATACCAGCTTATCAAAGACAGAAGAATCTGATTTCCAGTTGACACTTCATCTCAACTTTGTGTGATTATAAAACAGGAATATAATACATGAATCATCAATAATGAGTTATTTTCCTTCTATTTCTGTTTTCTTGTATTATTAATCATGTATGTTATTTTAATACATATTATTAATATTGGGAAAGCATTTTCTAATTACTTAATATTATGAAATTACTCAAATAACTGATATATGAAATATGGATTTTAAATTATATTATAAAATATTTCCTTGACATTTTAAAACATTAGTTTTAATTATTTTCTTTGGCATTTTAAGATATTAGTTTTAACTATTTCCATTAATATTTTAAACCATTATTTTCCCTCACATCTTAAAATATTGTGAAACATATTAACAATTATTTTGATATTTTTTTATTTATTTATTAAATTTTTATGCTTTTCATAATATTTGTTCATCAGATACTTTAATTATTTTTATATTCTGCTTTTACTCCATTTTTTTTTTTTTTTTTTTAATTCTATTATAGAACAGGGATAAAATAGATGAATCATAAAAGCTGACCCAGAATTGATACAAGGGACACATCTTCCCACTTGCTTCCCAAGTTGTGACTTCAGCTTTAGGGGTTGGTAGGTGAAGAACTAAACATGATTCACTAGCAGCTTTATGTCTCCCTACTTTGTATCATAAAGCCAAAAGATAAGAATAATAATGAAAAAAGGGGGGAAATATGATTGCATTTCAGGAAAGCTGCATTCAATAAAAATGTTAGCTATTAATGTTTTCAATTCATTAAATTTACAGGATTTTACTGACTTTACAGGCATAACAATAATAATATATAATAGTAGTACTATCATATCTTGAGTATTTACACTCTTGTGACACTTACTGAAGATCAAGTGGCAGCAATTCTATTCAAAACTCCAGCACTCTCTTAAGTATTCTTGCTGGTTTTTATAAATACTGTCTTCTGAATGTTTTAATTCTTTAGATTTCTGATTCTTATGATCCTTTTTGTCGTTCTTCAGAGCTGTTTCAAGCGCAGCAATGATAGTGAACAGAATTGTTACTCTGATATTTCGCAATAACTTTTTTCTTTTAGCAAGGTCCAAATATTATTCTAGATTATAATTATTAGTATTTTGTCTTAGTAGTAGTTTCCTTTCTCCTTCCTTCCCCCCCCTATTCTCCTTCTTTTCCCTTCCTTTCCCCACTTCTCCTTCCTTTTTTCTGTCTTTCCATTTTCCCATCATTTCACACCAATAGTAACTGGTGGCTTTCATTGGAAATCCTATGAAATCAAATTTCTCCCTGTTCTAGTACCCTGTTCATTATCTGAGAGCATTTTACCCTGAACAATTTTGATTCTTCCTCAGATTTGCAATTCTTCTAATGTTTTCTTTTATTTAATTTTTTTTAATTTTTAAAAAATTGTTTTTTTTTTATTCTTCTAAATGTTCAAATGTCAGGAACAATTTTTCACCTTTATATTACACAAATTTTCCTAATTCTCTCTCTCTCTCAATTTATATAATTTTTAGCTTTTATTATTCTCTTTCATTGTTACTATGCGGCCTTCTGGAATAGTAAAATTCATTACCTAACAAGTTTTCTTCTTTTCGTTCACAAAGATTTAATCAGGTTTTCTATTTTTATAGCATGTTTACACACATAATCTGATGATAATCACTAGGAAGTGTATGAAAACAACTCTGTTAACATTTCCAGCACCTTTCATGGAACTCAGTCTCACCCCAGGGCTGCAATGGTTATGATCATCTCAGCTGTTCCACAAATCTCAGATTCCCCCAATGTTGACTCTTTCTCTCTCTTATATGTAAACCCATTATCAAATCACCTGTTATTATGGACACGCCCTCACCTTCAATTTTCAGCAAGGTCCTGATGTTTTTATTGTTCTGATCTTCACACCTCCAAACAGTCTTCAGCAAGAGCTATATCTTAACTGGGTATTGAACTCACACTTTTTGGGTCCTGTTGTCTGGATCTAACCAACGTCTTTATCCACTGTGTCATGTGTCCTGAAGGCAGTGGAGAACTTTCAGAGGGAAATTAACAGGAGATAACTGATAAATGACATCCATTAGACATGACACATGGAACTAGAACATTCTACCCCAGTGAGCGAAATAAAGGGTTAAGTTCGACATTCCAACCACCTGAAGAAGGCTGGAGCGTACAATGGCCAAAACATTTTAATAAATATGACAACAAAGATGAGGACAATAGTATGAATAATGTAAATAATTTCTTTGTTTCAATTTCTAACCATTGCTGATGAAAAATACAACCGAAAATTTATGTTTTTCAACTATTGTCCTCTTCCTTGTTGCTATCACATTTCGGCCATCGTGTCCTCCAGCCTTCATCAGGTGCTTGTCAATCCCGATAACCTTCAGAGAATTTCAAAGTGATGATTTTATTTAATCTATGAGAGCAGGTTGTTCTGAAATCTGCTGACCCTGTTTAATAATGTCTAGTTTTTATTTAGTAGTGCTCAGTTATTGTTTGTTTTGTTTCTACCGAGTCTGAGAAAAAACTGGTTTAATGTTGCAAGTTCATTTCTCTTCTATTGCTATTTCCATGGCAAATGCTCTGATGAGCTACATCCAGTTCAGACATTCAAGACACACTATACCATATTACACAAGGTCAAATTATACTCATCCCTTTCATATTCCATTGGTAAAAAAGGGTTTTTCATTCAATCTTGTCCTGAGAAATCCTACTTGGTGCAACAGACTCTCAAGAAGGTGCTACCCTGATCACTACAATCATAATCTCTTCAAGTCAAGGGTCAACTACAACCACCTCATTCATTAATTCTCTACTTTGAGTGACTCTTGGGCTTGTATTGGATGACTGTTTTTTTTTTTTGGAGGGGGGGTAAGCTAAAAAATGTGGAAGCTGGATCTTTATTTTTATATCTCTTTCCTCTACATGATATTGAAACACCGTTTCCCATATGGTCACCAAAGTTAAGCAATGTCATGCCTACTTGGTACTTAGATGGGTGACCATTTGGGAATACCAGGTGCTGTAAGCTTTGAATGTGTGGGTGGAGTAATGGATAATGGCTTGGAATTGTTAGTCAGAGAGCCTAGTTCCAATTGCCGTTGGGTTCATTATATATTCACTGATATGCAAATAGCCTTGGAGAAATGTATCCTCTTCTCTTCCCAGCTAAGGGATTAATTAATTAGTAAAACTTCTATGACTAAATCATTATCTCCAAAAAAAATATTCTTACAGCCTAAAAATAATTTATAAAAGGGTTGGTAAGTTGTAGAAAACAAATCAATTTATTTTTATTGTCATACAATTGAGAACAAAGGACAATTAGAAAGAAACAATGCAGTTCTTAAGTGTAAGAAATGGTGTGTGTAAAAATGGCAAATTTACTGATAAAAATAATCAGTTAACTTCAGATGAGAAAAACGGGCACTTCATCAATATTTTAAGTTACTGTAAAATCTGAAGAAAGGATGTGGGCCGATGGTTATAATTTCAAAACCTCTGTGTTAATTGATGAAAAGGATATCAGATTCTCTGTAATAATAGTAGATGTCTGGGTCTCAGATTAATGTTTTTTTGGCTTATTTTAATATGATCTTGTACCTGTCCACTCACAATGTGTAACCAAGAATTTTATATATAAATTTATTAACATTGAAAAAAAAATCCTTAATAAAATAAAATCAATAAAATTCTATTTTACATGGACTCCTTGAAAGAGTTCATTGTTGAACTGTATTAGAAATTAATAATGGTAATCTTTGGCAAAAATGTCCATCATTATTGGAGATCATTCACAAAAATGAGTGTGCTTTCAGCTTGGTTGGTGGCTGAGATAGCCAGTATCAATGGTCAGCATTCAAGTTCAAATAAAAATTAGATCTCTTATTTATTGATTGATTTGCTTTTTTTTTTCTTTGGGTTTTTTTTTTTTTTTTTTTTTTTTTTTGTCATAACTTACAAACCATTGTGATTTGATTGTGAGAATGTTTTTCTAGGAGTAAGGAGTGAATATTGCACTAACAATTTTTTTTTTGTTCTGATAATAATGATTATTCCAGATGCAAGTCCTACTCTTTAACCCATAGCTAGTGGAAAAAGAGTGATTCATGCATTTTCCAAGGGTATTTGCATGTAAGTTAATATAATGAACCCTACTGGAATTTGAACTTGGTTCTTCGATTTCTCATTTCAAGATGCTATCCATTACACCACCTGCATTTTATATCTTCATATGCTGAATTAAAAAATCTACACATAGGCTCTTCCCACTCAAAAGTTTGCCATAACACAATCTTCATACCTCCTTTTCGCCTTGTTCCACATCAAGCTAATCTTTGTAAAGCTTTCATTGTCTTTTTTGTCTGCATGTCTGTCATCATTTATATCAATGGCAATAGTTATGGCTACCAAATTTATTGTAGTTACACTTGGGGGCAATAGTTTTTTTTGTTTTATTTTTTAAGCACACTAAGGATGCTGAGGATACTTTAAACCGAACATGTGAGTAACGATGTAATTTTGGAGAAAATGGAAACAAAAAGGAAACTAATACTTAACATCAGGAAAATTGAGGTTTCTAGGGCATATGAGGAAGGAGAGCTTAGAAAATCTGATACCCACAGGACAGATGAAGACAACACTTGACAAGCTTGAATAAATGGATGGCAGAACAGGGCTTGGAAGAAATAACAGGACAAGGTTTATTAAAAGCTACAAGGGATAGGAACTTGTAGAGAGCCATGATCGCCTACATCCTGAAAGGACACAATACATAAAGGTTTTAGAATTCAGATGTTTTAAAGATTTTAGTAAGAGGTCCAATATACATTAAAAGCATAAGGATAAATTGAACCCTGACTTTGAGCCCATCATGTAAGCTAAACTTATTTAAGCATACATGATAGAGATCTAGCTGAAATATCTCTTGTCAGAAACTTTTTTTTGAGGGTAGTTGGGTAGTTTAGGGGGTGGTGTTTTGTTTTTGTTTTTTCTGTGACATTTTCTTCTGGACATGCAAAAATCAAAACTGAAGAAAATATCAATGCATATACATTTGTAGTATGAGAAAGGTGCATCAGTGTGTGTGTGTGTGTGTGAGGGGAGGATATATATCTTGAGTCAGGATAAAATGTACTAGGATAAAATTAAAGCTCCTCAAAAAACACTACTATGAAATCTAGCTTAAGTCAAGTGTTTTTCTTTCTGGAGTTTACGGTCTACTAAATGTAGCTTAGATTTATCACGAAGCCATAAGTTTGGAGCGACTATTGAGCATTGAACTTGCTACTAAGTCCTGCTTGATCTAGCAAGACAAGCTTGCTAACCACTACTCCACCCAGAAGTGCTCTTCTTTTATGTGGATATATGTCAAAATATTGAAATAATTCAAATACCTTTGTATAATTGTCAGCCAAATTGGATCCAAACCAGAAGTGAGATTTGTGTTGACAAAAGCAGCGATGATAGGGTTAAAACTAATCTGGAAAGGCAAAAACATAAACTGAGATTGTTGCATGTCATTGTCTTGTCAATTCTCTGACAGTAGGACTCCAAAGGCAGATCCAAGTTGCAGAGATAAGATACTTCAGCTGTCTGCTTGGTATTTCACACACCAACTTTGAGGGTATTCATAGAAGAGTGAATTATCAGATAAATGGCTATTTTTAAAGAGATGTTGACTTCAGGAAGCTGAAGGAGTATGGCCATGTAACCAGATCACAAGGCCTCAACAAGACCTTGCAACAAAGAAGGGTACAGCAAGGAAGTATAAAGGGGACACCAAAGAAAGACAGTTGGACAATGTTGTTGAATGAACCAGCAAAAGTACTGGCCAGTGACTGGATCAAGTGGAGGTTTTTGGTTGACCAAGCCACCATGCAACTCTTACATGTTACAGAACAAGAGTAGGAAGATGTCAAAATATCAACTACTGTTTGTTATTTAATTCAATAGTTTTTTTTTTTTGGGGGGTTAAATGTAAAAAGTGAGACAATGTTTGAGCAATGCTTTATCTTGGATAAAAATCCAATTAAGCAAAAAGGCAAAAAGCTACATCACATTGAAATATTGGTTCCCATACAATCACTAAAGTCAAGCAACAGCCAGCCTGGTCAGTACCTACATAAGTCACTAGTTGGGAATACCAGGAGCTGTAAGCTTGGATGTGTGGGTAGTGTAATGGATAGTGGCTCAGTGTTGTTAATCGGAGAGCTGAGATCCAATTCCATTTGGGTTTGTTATATTCACTTATGTGCAAATACCCTTGTAATATATACGAGTCCACCTCTTCTCCTGCTATGGGTTAATTAGTAAGACTTGTATCACTACAACCATTATTATCTGTACAAAAAATAAACAAACAATAAAATTGCACACAAATTTTGCATTGAATTAGAGCATTGAATAACCTATAAAGAGTATAGATTTTTTAAAAAACCTTATTTTTTATATATATATATATTATATATATATATATATAGCATATATAAACAAAAATAAGAAAAAATTGTATAGATCATTTTAAATAGACTGCATACACACACACACAATTTATATATATTTTTATATATATTATATATATATATATATATATATATTTATATATATATATATATATATATATATATATATATTATATATATATATATTATATTATATATATATATATATATATATATATATATATATATATATATATATATAGAAATAAATAAAATGTTTTGTGTATCAGTTCACTTATGTGCCATGCATGATATTGTTAGGCGATCAGTGTATCTTTCTTATACATGACTGATGAGGTAGATTTTTTTCCTGCAGTAGATCAGTTCGATCCAAGAACCCGGTCTGTCCTGCTATTTACCCATAGCTGGGGAGAGAAGAAGAGGATTCATACTCTTTTCATGGGTATTAGCACATAAGTGAATGTAATGTATTACTGGAATTCTGAACTCAGCGCCTCTGAATCCATTACTCCACCGTGCCTCCGTGTATGTACATATTTTAATTATTTCAATATTTTGAATATGAGGGGAAAAGAAAGGAAGAGAATGTTCATATTCTCTAAAAAGAGCCATTAAATTTTCAAAATCCTAAACTTCTAGTCTACTGTAAGTACACCCACACAAACATGCATCTTTAGGCTTATTTTTTACATATATATATAAAAAGCAACACCTATCAAAAAAATAAAATTTACAACGTTCTTTTGATGGCCATTCTCGGTTTAACTGACCTACTAGGACTGGCATCGTCACCACCAAATAGACTCTTCAACTGATGACAAATTATTCGAGTCATGTCAGCCAAGAACCAACTTCCTTAGTGGCAAGTTCCTACTGTTAGAAACAAGTATGATTATTGGTTTCTGTTGGCTGCAAAGTCACTTTCTGCAGTCCTGTTTTGAAAGATCTTTTTCTTTCTTTTTTTGTATGTGGGAGAAGTTTTTGGTCATTTCTCAGCTATGGGTGAAAACTACTCTTCCCCCTCTCTTCCATACTAACCTTTTTCTGTGTATTTTTACATTTGCCAAAACTGCAGACATCATTATAAACATTTCACATATAAGAGTCTTGTATTAAGCCATCATCATCTTTCCCACTAAACAATTTTCAGTTATTTCAAGAAAATATATCGGCATTTCATGCTTTATAATTCTATCTCATACTTAATTTCTTTTAATTTTCAAAATGATGTCTGTTACTATACTTTGTTTATTATATATATATATAATCTCAGACATCCCTTTCAAAATATTTCTGGCACTTAAAAGAATCCAATAAAACACCTGCAGTAAAAAGGAAATTAATAAGAAAAGCTAGAATATGTAGGTCATTAAATGACCCATGTCCTTTGTGCATACATGAGAAACTATATATTACTAAGTTTATAAAAAAATAAAAATTTACTGAATAAAAGAAATGAAATAGATATTCTTTGCCATCATTGTAAAAAAAAATTTTCCTGAAATAAAATTTAAAAATAAAATTAAAAAAATGGGAGCTGGTAATGTACATACTTATATTTGATA